ACCGTGTTGTACTGCGGTCGTGTGTGAGCCCACAGATGACAGGGAACTCGTCACACCCTAGGACTGCCCCATAGATGTTTGATGATGAGTAATTAGTGCAAATGCCCGCCCCGGGCAAGTTGTAATGCGGGGCACGTTAAGGGGTCTAAATCCATTATTTTGCTTCCGCAAATGGTTTTAAGTAAATTCCATCACCATTCTCTGAGACTGAAATAAACTGAAATCACATTATTGTGGTACAAAGAAATAATGTGCCCAAGTAACCTAAAACCTTGCAGAAAGATAATCAGGCTATTTTGTGGCTTGAAGAAAAGCGGTAGAAAAGGGATGCTGAGAGCTAGAAACCTCAGAGCCTTTAGTGAACCTTATGATTACCAGTAGTTTTTCTGCAAGGTCCAGAGGAAAGGTCTCCTGGGTCCAACTGACCCATACTTCCCTTTACTGTGGGCAGGGAATAAAGTTCGAAGAGGGCGGAACTCCCCTGTAATCAGGATAATTGCCAGGTGTGGAGGTAAAAGCAGTGCCCACTGAGTCTCCTTTTATTTTTTAAAGTGTAATAGCCTTTTTGAGTTTCTGTTTGTTTCGGGCTCCCAATAAAGCAGATTAGCTTCCCCTGCCAGCTAATTTACAGTACAGTTAACCCTTGAACAACAGGGGTTTGAACTGCGCGGGCCATTTATTCATGGTTTTTTTACAGTACAGTACCCCGTAAATGTATTTTCTTTTCCTTATGGTTTTTTTTTTTAAAAGTAAGCTTTATGCCCAACATGGGGCTTGACCTCACGACCCTGAGATCAAGGAACATGCTCTACTAACTGAGCCAGCCAGGCTCCGCTTCCTTATGATTTTCTTAATAACGTTTTCTTTTCTCTAGCTTACTTTGTTGTGAGAATACAGTATGTAATACATAAAGCATATTAAATGTATTAACTGTTTATGTTGTCGGAAAGGCCTCTGGTCAACAGTAAGCTATTAGTAGTCAAGTTTTGGGGGAGTCGAAAGTTACACGTGGATTTTCAACTGGTCAGGAATCCGTGTCCCTAATCCCCACATTGTCCCAAGGTCAACTGTGATTAGGAAGATGTTACCATGCAGGCTGATAAAAGTTCTAAAGGGAAAAGAGGAGTCTTAGACTTTGGGATATTGCTGTACACCCTTATTCTCCAAGGGTGAGGGCTGGTATATTCAAAATCAGGTATGTTTTAGGCCATTATTATATTCCCAAATAGCAAACCTAGCCCGGAATCCACTTTCCTCCCACAAAGATGGCAAGACGAAAAACCAAGTGATGTCGGAGGGTATCTTCGCTACCGCTAACACTGCTACAAATATTTTCAAACAGAAAAATCCAGTGCACTTCTGCCTTCATTCAGGCAAGGTGACAAGGCAGTACAAGGGATAAATAATAGGGAAGCCCTGGGTGGAGTCTCTGAGCCAGGGGAACGGGGGCGGGGGGGGGTTGCGGGGGGGCGGCAACGAGGCTGACTTGCCTTGGGAGAGAAGAGGAGGGCTCGGAAATACAATGATGGGGGTCACATGCCTTCAAGATTCCACGTTGCGTCTTAGGTAATGGCATCTTTAGCAGTCTTTCTCTCTCGGGTGATCCAGAACTTGGCCATAACCTCACAGTCTGCAGTCCTTGTGTTGGCATTACACACTGTGCTTTAAAAACTCATTAATTCTTTCCCCTACCCCTTCCTACTTGGTGATTATTGCTGTCGTTATCTTACAGACCTTGGTGGCTGCTGGGTTTAACCATTTTTAAAGTGTTTTAGACCTTTTCAACGTTTGAATTTTGATTTCTTTAAAGACCTCTTGCTAGGACGGTCTATGAGATTGTGATTTAGAATAAGAAATACGTACTTGGTCTATGACCCCCATTCCGGGCACTGAGCTCCTAAAACTCTAGGAATTTCCTGTGAAGAGTGAGTGATAAAGGTCTTTTGTTACATTAATGAAGTGACTTTTTGGAAAGTGCCTAAGGATGGGGGCTGGTTGGCTGGCGGGTTGGACATTTCAGTCCCACCCTGCCGACCTGGGAGGGGGCGGGGAGCTGGAGGTTAAATTCAATCTCAATGGCCAATGATTTAATTGTGCCTGTGTAACAAGCCTCCATAAACCCCAAAAAGACTGGTTCAGAGAGCTTCTGGGTTGGTGAGCACGCGGAGATGTGGGGAGAGTGGTGGGGCCTGGAGAGGGCATGGAAGCTTCCCGCCCTTTCTCCCCTACCTGGCCCTGTGCATCTCTTCCATCTGGCTGTTCTGAGTTACATCCTTTTATAATAAACCGGCGATCTATTAAGTGAAATCCTCTGAGTTCTGTGAGCCGCTCCAGCAAATTAATCGAACCAAAGGTGGGGGTTGTTGGAACCTCCGATCTGTAGCTGGTTGGTCAGAAGCACAGGTGATAATCTGGATTTGTGGCATCTGAAGTGGGGGAAGAGGGGCAATCTTGTAGGACTTAGACCTTACCCTGTGGGATCTACCTGGAGACAGCATCAGAAAGGATTTGAGTGTAGGGCACCCAGCTGGTGTCAGAATTGCCTGGTAGTGTAGAAAAAAATACACATTGTAACTGGAGTCAAAATCCTACTGTCCAACCCTTTGTACTCTATGAATGCAGAATTGTGTACTTAGGCAGAACCCCGAACCCTCTTCTTCAGAGTCTTTCCGTCATGTTGGCCATCCTAATGTAATGAACCAAAAGGCAGGAAAGATTCGTCATGGAAATTCAGTTTAATTACAGGCAGTCTGTGTCACCACCCACACAGGGCAGATGAGCCCTCCTGCAATGTGGAGACCAGGGAAGGTGCTTTGGAACTCTTCATTTACGTTTTCTGGGAAGATGGAGCTGCATTTTCCATGGTCTGGTTTTCTGTGTCCGTGTTCTAAATGCCTCACACGCATTCTTAGCTCAGCTAATCCTCACAGCAGCTCTAGAAGGGAGGAAGCGTCCCCCCCTGCCCCCAGGGCACAGACGGAAGGCACAAGGACATGCTGTCATTGGCAGGCCTGGCGATTGGTGGACACCACTGGAGGTCAAACCACACCCATGAAGCCAGGGCCCAGCGCACACCATTAACCAGGATCCAGCACACACCATTAAGCAGGATCAGGCACACACCATTAACCAGGGCTCTTCCTACACCTCAAACTCAGCAAGACCTAAACAAGATTCCCCATCGCCTCCCAAACCACCTGTTTCTCTGGCTTTTATCTCACATACTAGCATCATCATTTCGCACACCCAGACTTAAAACCTCACTGATTTTTTTGGACTCCATTTCTTTTCTAGCCTACCCGCTTTCCATAAACAGACCCCTCCTCCGCCTTCCCACCTTATGCCTCTCTAACTGGTCTCCTTGTCCCACTGCCTAGTTCAGGCCTTTATTTACCTTTACATCAGTAGTGAGCAATCTCTCTCTCGGCATGAGTGCCAATTTAAGAGCAATATACATGTTTATAAGAATTCTCCCCGATAGTTCGGGCTTTGCTCAAGCCTGCTCTTGATTATTCCAGAAACTTCCTGACTGCTCTTACTGCCTCACTCTTTCCCCTCTACCCAGCCCTTTACAGGTCTGTCCAAGGTTCTTAAAGATTTTATTTATTTATTTTTAATTTTTTTTTTTAAAGATTTTCTTTATTTGAGAGAGAGAGTGAGAGAGAGAGAGAGAGCACAAGACAGGGGAGCGGGAGAGGGAGAAGCAGACTCCCTGCTGAGCAGGGAGCCCGATGTGGGACTTGATCCCGGGACTCCAGGATCATGACCTGAGCCGAAGGCAGTCGCTTAACCAACTGAGCCACCCAGGCGCCCTTTATTTATTTATTTGAGAGAGAGCACAAGCAGGGGGAGGAGGGGCAGAGGGAGAGGGAAAAGCAGACTCCCCACTGAACATGGAACCCAACGCGGGGCTCGATCCCAGGACCCAGAGATCATGACCTGAGCCGAAGGCAGCAGATGCTTAACAGACTGAGCCACCCAGGCACCTCGGTGTCCAAGGTTTTCTTAAAACAGTCCTATTGTGCCACTTCCCTGCTCAAAACACTTTGACACCTCCCGCTGACTGCATTCAAGGCCCAATCCCATTTTCTCCTGTCCCCTACCATTCCCCACCCCTCTTGTCCTCCTCGACACCCCCAACAACCACCAGCGCTATTCGTACACCTTGTGCTCCTCCACTGCCCTGCTCATTCTTCTCTGAATATATTCAGCACTAAACCCGCCTCTGTTCCTTGGTTCACAACGTTCCCTCGACACAAAATGTTCTTTCCCTATGTTCCTACCTCTTAAATTCCTACCTGAACCTTGCACACGCGCACACACACGCATGCACCCAATGCCATCTGTGAGGGTGAATTTTAATATGTCAACTTGGCCAGACCACGGTACACAGATATTTAGCCAAACTCAGTCTAGGTGTTGCTGTGAAGGTATTTTTCAGACAAGAATAACATTCAAGTCAGTAGACTTTGAATAAAGCAGATGACCCTCCATAATGTAGGTGAGTCATACGTGGAAAAAGGAAGGAAAGGAGGAAAAAGACTGAGGTGCCCCAAGGAAGAGGGAATTCTGTTAGCAGACAGCCTTTGGACTCAAGCTGCAACATCAACTCTTCCCTGGGGCTCTAGCCTATCAGCCTACCCTGCAGATTTCAGACTTGCCAGCCCCACAGTCATGTGAGCCCATTTC